AGCTTTTGGATTTTAGTACTGATAGTGTTTTTAATTCTAATTCTTGCGACGTTTGTATTCGTGCCAAGCAAACACGAGATTCTTTTCCCATAAGTATTAATATAACATCTGAGGTTTTTGAGTTAGTTCATTGCGTTTATGGGACCATATCGTACTACATCCATTTGTGGCTCTCGGTATTTTCTCACCATCCTCGATGACCATTCTCGAGCCTTGTGGCTATACTTGCTTCCTGACAAAACCAAGACTGCTTCCACAATGCGTAATTTCATTGCTCTAGTCGAGAGACAATTTGACAAACATGTCAAAACCATCTGTAGTGACAATGGTACTGAATTTCTTCCTCTCAAGGATTATTTTCACACGAAAGACATCATACATGAGACCTCTTGTGTTGGGACTCCACAACAAAATGATCGTGTTGAGCGCAAGCATCGCCATATACTTAATGTTGTCAGGGCATTACGGTTTCAGTCCAACTTACCAGTTGAATTCTAGCATTTTCTGCATCCTTACGGCTGGTTACTTAATCAACCGGACTCCCACAAAGATTCTCAAGGGCAAGTCGCCGTTTGAAATACTCTACAAACGACCTCCTCCGCAGAATAATCTACGAGTTTTTAGATGCCTCTGTTACGTTCATAACCAACGGCATGGCGGGGACAAGTTTGCTTCTCGCAGCAAACGCTCTGTGTTTCTGGGGTATCCTTTCGGTAAAAAGGGCTGGAAGGTATATGATTTAGAGAGCGGGAGCATTTCTACTTCCCGTGATGTTGTTTTCTAGGAAGCCATCTTCCCTTTTGCTGCTGCTTCTTCGGATATACCTGTGACATCTACACTGTCCGCTCCGCTGCTGTTGTTTGATGATGAATTTGAGTCTCATTCACCACTCACACTTTCACTTCCTTCTGCAGCTGTTGAGTCTCATCCTACAGTCGTTGAGTCTCTTCCTACCGTCATTGAGTCTCCTCCTACAGATGTTAACTCCCCTGTTTCATGTCCTGCGGGTTCTCCTATCATCTCTCCTGACTCGCCAATCCCTGCATCGGATTCTGACATGCCACCTTCTACTCCGCGGTCTAATTCTTCTGTCATACTGAGTCCTGCTACCTCAGCATCGCGCACTGAATCTGAGTCTCCTCAGGTTGCGATTGAACCTCTGCATACTGCTCTCCCTCTCGATGCTGACGATGGGTTAGGAAAGGGCCAACGATCGAAAATAAAGTCAATCAAACTTCAGAATTATGTGACATACACGACACAAATTGGTTCCGATAGTGACTTTATTGATTCTTCCTGGTATCCGCTTGATGATTATGTGGATTGCTCGCATTTCTCGGTTTCTCATCGTGCTTATCTAGTAAAGATCACCTCGGCCGTTATACCAAAGTCCTACTCTAAGGCTTTTGAAGACGAAAATTGACGCGAGGCTGTTCGAGGTGAAATTGACGCACTTAAAGAGCGTGGTACCTTGACAGTTGAGTCTTTACCTCCTGGGAAGAAAGCATTATGTTTTAAATGGGTATTTACGATCAAGTTTAAATCTGACGGCTCGTTAGAAAGGTATAAAGAGCGTCTCGTTGTTCTTGGGAACAATCAGCCTGAAGGGCTCGACTATGATGAGACTTTTGTGCCAGTGTGTAAGATAGTTACAGTTCGCTCATTCTTGGACATTGCTGTTGCTCGTGGCTGGGAGGTTCACCAGATGGATGTCCATAATGCGTTCTTGCACGGGGACCTCGACGAAGAGGTTTTCATTCGATTTCCTCCAGGTTTTCGTACAGCTGATAAGACTCAGGTCTGTCGCTTACATAAATCTCTCTATGGCCTCAAACAAGCTCCTCGTTGTTGGTTCGCAGAGCTTACGATTGTTCTCACCAAATATGGTTTCCACCAGCCTATTGAGGATTACTCTCTGTTTACTCTTGAGAACGGTTCTACCAGATTACATATCCTTGTTTATGTTGATGACCTTATCATTTTGGGGAACTCTCCTTTGGTCATTCATGAATTCAAGCAATACTTGAGCGCCTGTTTTCGTATGAAGGACTTTGGCTTCTTGAAGTATTTTTTGGGCATCGAGGTTGCACGAAGTCTCACTCGTATGTATCTGTGTCAGCGAAAGTATACACTTGACATCATCTCTGACATGAGTCTTCTTGGAGCTAAACCTGTCTCGCACCCGATTGAACAAAACCATAAGTTAGCGTTGGCTGGTGGAGAGTCTCTTCCGGATCCTACTCGTTACCGGAGATTGGTGGGTCGCCTTATCTACCTTGGTACAACTCGCCCTGAACTTTCCTATCCTATACATGTTTTGTCTTAGTTCATGCATGATCCCAAACCGGAGCACTGGGATGCTGCTATTCGCGTCGTCCGATACTTGAAGAGCCATCCGGGACAAGGTATTCTTCTCAGGTCGGGCTCTGATCTTCGACTGACTGCGTGGTGTGATGCAGATTGGGCGGCATGTCCCTTGTCTCGTAAATCACTCACTAGCTGGTTCATTCTTTTGGGCGGTTCACCCATTGCTTGGAAGACACGCAAACAGGATACAGTTTCTCGTTCTTCAACAGAGGCTGAATATCGCGCTATGGCTGACACAGTTAGTGAACTTTTATGGCTCCGACGCTTACTGAAGACACTTGGCGTGGATTGCTCTCGCACGATTCCTATGTACTGTGACAATCTCTTGGCTATTCATCTAAGTGCCAATCCAGTTTTTCATGAATGGACGAAACATGTGGGTTTGAATTGTCACTTTATCCGGGACGAGATTGTTCGTGGGATACTCAAACCATTTCATGTCTCCACTACTGAAAAACTGGCTGATATCTTCACTAAGGCTTTGGGAAGGCGAGAGTTTGACAAATTCTTAGCCAAGTTGGGTATTTGTGATCTGCATACTCCAACTTGAGGAGAGGTATTGGGAGATATATTGAACCAACTATGTAATTAGCAATTACTTATGTTTAGTTATGTGAATACATACTCTGTATTAGGTATATCGATATGTATATAAGGCGCAGCCTTATGATTGAGATAAAATAAGAAATCCTTTCATACCAATCTAGATTTTTTGGCAGTAACCGTTGGTGTCAGATTAATTTTTCTTCAAACGCCAAGAAGATACATCACACAGAAATTCGAAATTTGGATCTCAGAAGTGTTTGCGTGGAGAAGGCCCAAAGCAGTTTTAGGGTGGTTGCTTGGGGACTTGCATACACAATTCCACAACTCTTTGTTCATTTACTGAAAATATAAGTCGATCTGTAACTGATTGTTTTTCGGTTCTCAAACGATGATACGGAATCGACCCAGATCCGACATAAACCAGACCGAATCAGACTCCAAAATTAAAAATACTCTAACAGAACTCATAGCCGAAAACCAAAACAATCAAAACCTATAAAAAAATCTGACATGAACCCGATCGAGTACCCAAATACTTAGGGCTAGACTGATTTGTTGGTTTCTAGTTCTCGCTAATGGAAGGGTCTAATAATCAAGACCATTAACCACTTCCTAAACCTTTGCATCACTCAGAATAATAAGTTTCTTTGGTCCCTCGAATGAAGTCAATGAGGGAGCCTAGAGGAAGCCATTTGTCGAACCAATATTTAATTGTATTACCGTCGCCAATATATTACAGCTCAGCAAAGGTTTACTATAAGATGTAAGGAGATGATAGCCTTCCAAATCCATGAATGGTTGCAGAAATTCCAGCCCCCCCACTGAGAGTCAGAATTTGAGAACATTAGCCACACTAGGCGCATACTGAGAGTTTTATTCTATATATGGAAGTACCATAGGCAAAGACTACCTTCCGCTTTAGGAAGGCAAATAGTCTCCAAGATTTTTAGAAGTAGACTTCTTTGAAGTGTCTCCAGACCAGAGGAAGTTTCTACAGAATTTCTCAATAAGACAACCTTTAGAAAGAGCAAAAGCTGATGACCAAATGTTGACCTGACTATAGATGATTGAGCTAATCAACTGGCGTACGACAAGCTCCTCACAGTCCAACTTGAAAACCTCTTTTTGATCTTATCAATTAGGGGAGAGTATTCAGATATGCGCAGATGACTACTAAGAAGAGGGAGACCCATGTACCTTATGGGGGATGAACCACTTTGAAAACTAAAACTGCCAAGAACTTTGCTTCATCCAGGTTCAGATCCGCATGGAAAAGAGATGACTTTTCTTTGTTCAGCCGCAGACCCGAGAGATGGTGGAAAGTATCCAAAACTGAGGTAATACCTTGTAGAGAGCCAGCTAAACCATCAAAAAATATCATCATGTCATCTGCAAATAATAATTGACTAATCTTGGGTTCAAGGCTAGAGAGTGGTAACCAATGGCTCCTTCTTCAAATTGCAAATTTATGAGAGAATCAATAGTCTCCATTGAATACATTTTGTTGCTTGACTATACATCAGAAGGAACAAAAAGAAGCTAACGTAGTCCAGTTAACATATATATGTTCCAACATAAACTTAATTTAACCAAGTCAAATTCTAGTTAGTCAGAGATTTAAAAGATTTTCCTTTCAAACAGATCAAGAAGTAACAGCACAGGGTAAGACTTACAAATATAAAAGTAGCAAACTACCAATATACTATAAGAGTTACTAGTAAGTATAAGAAATTATCTATATAAACCAGTTTCAGTTTTAAAGAGGCCGAGAAAGCGTAATGCTGTATAAGGTTGTGACCATAACTTAAGAACATGCATCCTCACGCCAACCGATTTTGACTTGGGAAACTCAAAAATATCTGATGAGACATAGTATTCATTCATTAATTTCAATCCACAACCAAATTTATGCTTGAAATGAATTATTGCAAGTACCATATTTTTAAAAAAAAATTATACGGAAAATTACATATTTCTCATACTGAGCTATATATAAGAATGATTCCCTTTAAGAAAATCTAACAGAACTCAAAACCCTAAACTTCCAGTTTATAAACCCTTACCCAATCTTTGATCTGCAGTTTTTTTTATTCTCCATACGGAACAGTCCGGCACAAGGGACATGAGTTTTGCCGACCAAGCCACTCGAAGAGACAATCCTGATGAAACATATGTTTGCATTGAGGCATCTGGATGATGTTTTCATGATTAATGGAGAAATCCTCAATACAAATCGAACACTCGATCTCATTTGTTTCTTCCAAATCCATCAATTTCTCTTTCTGTTCCTTCACTAATCTCTGGATAACTTCCCACGAAGCACTTTTCGGTGGAGGAGGAACATTTGCATTCGGCCGCCTGTTTTCGATTAAACTGACACTGACGGTTACGTAAACAGGTTCTCGAAGAGAATGATCATTAGCAAATGCTTCATTGATCTGACGATGGATAGTTTCACCTAAATCTTGAGAGTGATGAACCTCTTGTTCATCAAGGAGTTGAGAGAGATGACTTGGCGTGAAGCCGCCACGTGGCTTCAAGCAGATGCGATATGGTGTTAAATATGTTACTCCATCTTCACTCTCTTCATCAATGATCACTTCTTGCAGACGGATTAAGACTGTGTTCGTAGACTCAAAGTTTATCGCTAGATTCGACACATTCGTACGGACATGGACTATATCAGTTTCAGTTTCCAATTCCATGGCTGCACAAAGAAGAATATTAGCAGAAACAAAACCCTAATTTCGGTTTGTTAAGAGAGAGAGAGAGAGAGAGAGAGAGAGAGAGAGAGAGACTGTGTGTGATTTGTTAAAGGTGAACGAGACTGTGATTTCTTAAAGAGAGAGGGAGAGATAATGTGTGATATATAAAGAAAAAGACAATTTCTAGATAATTGGTTGTTTCCTTCGGAATTATTTAGTCATAGAAGATTTACTTCCATTTTTAATTGGTCGTCTCCTTCTTATTTTTTTTCCATTTTTATAAAATTTGACTGTTAGTGTTTGAGTTGGATTTCCCACAATAAATCTGGTTTATTTAAATCTAACAAGTAAGTCAAACTAAGTATAAATTGATTGGGCCTCGTTCATACAACAATGCTCAATCATTTGCAACGCTAAGCCTGAATATCAAGCGCTCTATTCGATGAGGTCGAGCTGCAGCTCGGCAAAATTCTGGGAAATAAGGAAGAATCCAGACCAAATCAGAGCATATTCCTACCAGTTCGAACAAGCCCAAAATTTCTGAAAGAGGTTGCTGCACGTGGCCGAAATACGCGCTGGAGGTTGAAGCTCGACGAGGGAACTATAGAAAAGAGGCAAGCAATTTAGTTTAGGGGGATCCTGATTTTTACACTTTTTGATACTGGAAAACTCTGTAATCGCTCTTCGAGCTTGTTGAAACTTGACTTGATTAACTCTCACGACTTGCAGGTTTTAGCTTGCGGATCAAGGAAACGAAAGATAAACGACTCACGATTTGTTCACCCAGAGTTCACCAAAATGGCTACGTCTCTGGGGAGGGATCTGTCTCCCTCAACTGCATCCACTATCACTCAAGAATACAGTTTACAACGATGACATGTTCGTTACACGAGAAACAAATGAAAGATCAAGGAATAACGAAGGAGCTTGCTGGATCCGATGAAGACACCCGAAGGTTTGAACGACGACTCCTCAAAACTCCGGTGAGTTTCTCGATCACTCTCTCAACTTCTTATTCGCTCTCTTTCTCTCTCTGCTTTCTCTCTCTGTAACAACCTCTTCTGATCTTTTTCGCAGGTCAACGAAGAATGAAGACGATGACTTCATTTATCAGCTCTGAGAGTTTGGGCTTGGCGAAGTGACACGACCCAGCTGAGGAAATGCAGAATGGGCTTTGGGCCCAAAATGACTTAGGTGTTTGACTGAACCCAAATCCACATAGCTCTTTTCACTTCATCTCTTTCAGAATTCTAACCATTTTATTCATCACATTGATATCAAATTCTTATTTCGGTTAATATTTGCTTGGATCTGTTCAAGAGAATCTAACTCTTAATTCTTCTAAAAAAAATTTCTTACAAAAACTCATAAATTTATGAGTGTTGAATTTCTGTATCACAATTAATTAGTTCGTTGTAATTTTTTTTTCCATTTTTTATTATAAAATCGGACCGTTGGTTCGTTATTTCCTTTTTCTATTTTTCTTTCACCATTTTGGTTTTTGTACCGGAATGGAATCAAATGTTTTTGTAACCGGCTCGCTTTGATATGGTTTAGCGGTCAAGATGCTATTAGGCAATTGGAATTGAGAGAGTTGGCCAAAAATAAAATCCAACGGCGATTTTTATTGAATCGAATAGACTAAGAGAAAGCTCATTTGTTAAAACTCATGAAAACTTTGAAGAGAGAAGTCGATTTGAGTAGAGAAGGAAAATAGGACTTTAATTTTGATTCTGAAGTTCTGTTAATATATTTTGTTGCTGATAGCCTTATAACATGGTTTGTTTTTACCGGATATATATGTGTTTAAACTCCAACATCAAACTCAACCAAGTCAGAGAGATCTTGAGCCCAGTTGGTCAGAAATTTTAAATAGTCTCTTTTCCAAAGTAACAGCATAGTATAAGAGTTTACTAGTGACAACAGACTTCAAATATAAAAGTAACATCATAGTATAAGACATAATCATGCCTCTTTAAAAATTACACTAAAAGTTATAGATTTCTCAGTGTCGATACTGAGAAATACTGAGCTATATATATAACATCGAAATTCAAAACCTTAAACTTCTAGTTTATAAACCCTAACCCAACTTTGATTCACTGTTTCTTGATTCTCCGTACGGAACAGTCCGGCACAAGGGACACGAGTTTTGCCGACCAAGCCACTCGAAGAGACAATCCTGGTGAAACATATGTTTGCATTGAGGCATCCTGATGATGATTGTTTTCAAAACCTTAAACTTCTAGTTTATAAACCCTAACCCAACCTTGAATTCACTGTTTCTTGATTCTCCGTACGTAACAGTCCGGCACAAGGGACACGAGTTTTGCCGACCAAGCCACTCGAAGAGACAATTCCGATGAAACATATGTTTGCATTGAGGCATCTTGATGATGTTTTCATTACTCTTAGACAAATCCTCAATACAAATCGAACACTGAATCTCATATGTATCTTCCAAATCCATCAATTCCACTCTCTGTTCCACCCCTAATCTCTGAATTACTTCCCACGAAGCTCTTGTCGACGGAGGAGGAACATTCACATTCGTCCGCCTGTCTTCGATGATATTGACATTGACAGTTACATAAACAGGTTCTCGAAGAGAATGATCATTAGCAAAACATTCATTGATCTGACGATGGATTGTTTCACCTAAAACTTGAGAGTAACGAACCTCTTGTTCATCAAAGAGTTGAGAGAGATGACTTGGGCTGAAGCAGCCACGTGGCTTCAAGTAGATGCGATCTGATCTCAAAGGCGTTAGTCTACTTTCATCATCGAGAATCTGTACGTGTAGACGAATTAAGACTGTGTTCGTAGACTCCAAGTTTCTCGCTGTGTTCGACACATTTAACAAGAGGTCGAACTGTAGTGTGTCCATATCAGTTTCAGTTTCCATGGCTGCAGAAAGAAGAATTCAAACAAAAATAAAACCCTAATTTTGGATCGTTGTCTTGTCTTGAGAGAGAGAGAGAGAGAGAGAGAGAGAGACTTTGTGTGATTTCTTAAGGTGAACTAGACTGCGTCTGATTTCTTAAAGACAGATAAATGTGTGATACATATAAATAGAGAGGGGATGTTGGAAAATTGGTAGACCTTTATTTCCTTTTTCGATGACTAGATAATTTCTTTTCTTCTTTTTTTTTTTTTTTTTCTTCCATTTTTATAAAATCCGACCGACCGTTGGGTTCATTGTTTCCTTTCTTTTTTTTTGTCACCGTTTTGGTTTTGGTACCGGAGCAGAATGCATAATCAAATGTTTTTGTAACAGGCTAGCTTTGTTATGGTTTAGCGGTTACTATGCAATTGGAATTGAAAGTGTTAGCCAATAATAAAACCCAACGGCGATTTTTATTGAATCGAATAGACAGAGAGAAGCTCCTCGTGAAAGCTTTGAAGAGAAGAGATCGATTTGAGTTTCAGAGAAGAAGCAGAGAAGGAAAAAAAGGACTTTCGATTCTGAAATCTAATTCTTGACCTTGGTTAATAGATAAACAACAGAAGGAGCAAAAGCCGTAATTGCACAAAAATACCAAATCAGCACGGATCTTGAGATGCGTCCTTGTTGCCAACGGGCACATGAACTGTATCGTGTGCGTCACGGGATTGGACCTAGGTTTTGTTCCCTAACCGCTTCAATTCGTTTATCTTTGACCGGACCTTCTCTTTCTCTTCGAGTCTTTGTCTTCGTTTGCATTTTGTTCCCCAGCTAATTGTCTTTCTGGTTTAGAAGATTTTTTTTTTAAAAACTTGCTTACTTCAGTTCCTGCCTTTTTAAATTGTTTCTTTAGCTGAAAATTAATTTACTTCATAATTTTCTTTTTTTTCTACTATTTTAGTATATTATGATAAACCTCGATTTGAATTTTCGAAAAAAGGCCCACGATAAAAACAAAGCGTATGCATTTCTTTCCAATACTCACCACAAGTAATTACGTAAGAATAATTTTGACACTAATTCTCTTTTAATTGAAAAAGAAGATTAAATTTTCCAATGATGGAAACATTTGACAGGAATATTATTTTATTTGGTGTCTTTTTAAGAGAATATATTCCATTTGACAAAAAAAGATCGACATAAACTTTTGCTTTTAGACACCCCTTTTTCTCTATGCACTTTTACTTTGTTGCTTTAGTAATTTTTTCTCGGATATGCATAAAGCCATTGAAATTCATTTCTTAAGACCTCCTTTTCTTCGCTATTTTAATTTAATGTAATTATTATCACAAGTATTATGTAACGATGAAAGCCCTTTTATATAAAAAAAGTATTATGTAACAACAATCGAAACAAAATAATTAAAAATAGTGCTGAAAAGTAATTCAAAAGAAAAAGAAATAAAGTCGACCGGATCCAAAGCGATATAATATACATCTCATCTGAATCTTTTTGCTTCTTTGAGATCCACGCTCTTGACATTTATTTACCTGAAAATTTTAAATTATATACACATATTACTTTAAAATGAATATACTGATAAAAGGTTATTTTATACTTCACTATTTGATAAACCTAATCGAAGACAATTTGTACGATGCACGTGCAAACATATTACATATAACATTCATTTTTGGCCCTTTGACTACGTACCTTTATCATAAGAGTCATGCATGTATAACTTGAATTATATTTGTATATATGTTTCGTGTGTGTTTATCATATATTGTGAAAGAAGTTAGATATATTTTAATTAAAAAATGAAGAAAAATGTAAGAAAAAAACTGTTACCTCCGCGACTGCAAACGCCTCTGAGGAAGAGAAGAAAGATAATTAGAAGAACAACTGCAGCTAGTAGTCCTATAATGATCGCGAACGTCCTTTCTCCTCCATAGTTTGTTTTATCTTTATAAAACACAGAATTTACTATTAGTTTCCATTTTACGATTCAGTGAAAAATTTAGTGAGTTTCAAAATTATTTGTTAAATGATTTTACTAATAGTAATAAGTAGAGAAAAGTTACATTTATGAGACTTGGCATTGTATTGTCCACCATCAGTAGAATATCTTGCGTAACACTTAGTTAAGAACATGTCTCCAAAGATGGCCGTGCCACAATCGTTTTTTAGCCGTCCGATTGCCGTTCCTACACAATCTTGGCACTCGGAAACCGTTAGATCTCCTACACATTGTCCCATACCTTGAACATCACCGGACCCTCCGGCTCGAAAATAGCCTCCGCCGTTAAGTAGTCCCGAGAGAACGGCGTCTCTCCGGCTTATCCCGTCGGTGTTATAACCCTCAGAGGGCCCACACTTCTTAAGGACAACGGTCTTGTCTTCTTGGCCGAGGAAGCTAACATTATCGTACTTGATGTAGCATCCGGCTAGCTGGAGGGCCCCACCGCAAGTGTAAGGGCAAAGAGGGCCCACTTGGGAGACGGCACGTGCCACACACGTGGCGCAGTCCGGCATTGAGAGATCGCCGCGGCATTGGAAGAGGCCACGGGCTGTGTCGGAGGAGGAAGAGCCCATCACGGTGAAGTTGTTGTAAGAAGAGTATGTGGCTGAGTTGACTAGAGAAGTGAGAAGAGAGTTAAGGTTTGACTCATAAGGAGACGCCGGAGAGAATTTTTGCTGGGAGCAGCCGCCGAAGACGAAGACGTCTGAGGCGGATGTGGCGGAGGACAGTGAAGGAGCGGTTGCGGCGAGGAGAGAGAAGAAGAAGGAGATAGTTTTGGTGAGTGTATTTGGAGCGATAGTGTTCCTTAGCTTTGCCATTGGCATTGATGAAAAAGGAGAGAAAGACATTAGCAATGAAAATGGATACTTATTTATACATGTTAAGTGACTATAGAATACTTAGTAGGAATGATACCGCAATTTATTAGGTTTTACCTAATTACAGAATTATTATAAGAAAACAAGTTTATGGTAAAAAATTCAGAAGAATTAAGCTGTCTTAAGAGTTTTCATTTTAGACATTATAGTTTGAGAAATATAACTACGCAATTATGCGGTGTTACTAATCACTTAATCAGTGGTCACTTTTATTTGATTTAATATGGTTGTATCAATATATATATATATATATATATTTAAAATTTGTGCAAATCAATTTTATAAGATTAATTCGTAATATCCAGTAATTAAGCTTATCTAAAATAATGTGATCCCCAAATAAGCTAAATTATTAGTGGTGGCTATAGATTTATAGTTTGATTGTATAAGATTTAATTATATTTTCATAACATGTGGATTGCTCAGTTTTCTTTCCTTGTAGCTTGACTAATTGAAGAAGTTCTAAGCTTTTCATAAAGCAGGCAGCCATGCAACAAAGGCATTCATTTTCGTAAAATATTATTCTATGCTTAATATCACTAAGTATCTAAAATGCAACTTTAAAGGGCGCAGTGCAAGGCCTCCAAACTTTGAGATCCCAAGTTTACAGCTTTGTGTACTTAATGACAATAATTTCAAATAATCACTAGAGATAAATAATTTACTTTGTAAAAATCTGCTAAATGATCAACACCTATATTATATATTTTACCACAATTTTGGCTGCTTTCATGCATGCATGTTTGTGATTTCTTATGTATATATATATATATATATATATATTGTATGCTATGACTTTTTTTGTACAATAATTATAGGGATAATTTTTGAGATAATTTACTTGAAAATTTTATTATAAAACATATGATCCAAGAGAACTACTAATTTGTTTTCAATCTGCTATTAGACTGTCAGTAATTTGTAATTAGTCTATTATTAGTCTGCGAGTAGTCTATATTCAATTATTTGACCAATCAATCTGTTAGTAGTCTGCATTCAGTCTATCGTTAATCTGTCATTAGTCATTCATTAGTTTACAAATAACTGTAGTTAGAAGAGTAGCGCTAATATTTACAAAAATCGCAAAAAAAAATCATTTCACAATTTTTCTTCAATGGAGTATCCATTTCATATTATTTATCATTCTAGAACAGTTGTAGTATTTCGTCTTAATTATATTCTATTGTTGCAACTGATCTTGTAGTTGCAATCGCTTATTTGTTTGTTTATCTATAATAATTCTAACATTTTTCTGTAATTAAGTTAACTTATTTTTTAATGCAGTTGTTCTTCAACCTATAAAGTTTCCAAACTTCCAAGAAGTAAACTACACTCTAACAAACAATCTTCACATTTTCAATGGATAAAAAAACTTTCGCTTTCGTGTCAACAACAATGATTCAAATGAGCTACGGAAATATAATGGAAAATTTATTGTTACTCTCTTCATAACAAAAGAATGTCAAATTGGAAAGCTGAATATTCTTCTCTTTTTTGCTAATAATTCCCAAAGGGAGGGTAGGTGGGTGATCCATGAGGGCTTAAGGATTTTTTTAAAATATTTTTATTTATCAGTTTTATTTCATACTAATATACAAGTTATGATTGTTAAGAAAGAAGAAACCTTTTTCGAACGAAGACACAGCTCGCCTCCAACTGTACCATCGCACTCATCGAGTTTTCCATTTCTTCTTTTTAGGATTCATTGCTTGCTCTCGAAGGAACCCTCGTACGTACCACTTCATAATCTTATTTAACTTCTTTATTTTAAAAAGTCACGAGTGTTTTTTGTACTATAATAGCTAGCACTTATTATCCGTTAAACTTTCTTTTTAAAAACAAATTACATAAATAATAAAAATATATAACTTTGACGTAGTATGATATTAAAAGTTTATTAAGAAATATATTGCTAAAGAAAGTTTATTAATTTGTATGAAAACGTTATACCAAATACAAATGAACGAATGTAAAAAATATTATTGTAGTGACTAGTGAAGACTTTGTTCTAACTCGCATTATGTTAGATGGAAACGAGTACATTTTCTAAAAGATTTTCCTTCGCAATAACTTAAGTTCATTAAAACCAGGAAAACTGTGCTAACCTAGTTCAGATTAAAGG